AATGGTAATTGTAGAGGAATACAGTTTTGTATGATCTAACACTTTTCCTCTCCCCTGGATGCAAAGATGTGTCTAGCCTTCTCCCTTCCCACATCCGTCGCTCTCTACTTGAGATTACTTCTCATTTAATTTTTAAGTGCCGCTATAGTTGCACTGTTAGTAATCATTTTAATGAATAACATAAGTGAGTGAGCAGTTAAATCAATGTATCAGAGATGAAATCTTAATTAAAATGGTATTTAGCTATGGGAAGTGAGAGTTTTATAATTTATTTTCTATTAAGATGTTGTCTGTTTCACCGAACACAATTATTTTGTGGTTTTAATCATGATATGAAAGCTTCACTGAAGTTATTTTTCTCCATCTTTCTGTTCTCCTCCATGAAAATCCACTAGCTTCATCTTTAAGGATACATTTTAAAAGGTCAGTGCTACAATGTTTGTATTCATTTTCTTTGTTCTTGAAATTATTTTTATTATTATTTATTTATTTATTTATTTTTACAATTGCAACAGCAGGCTACCATGCTGTTTATTATACAATTCTTCAATTTTATTACAGGGTAAACATTCAGATGGGTTTAAGTATGAAAGATTTATTACATATTTGAAACAACTTTTTTTTTTTTTAACTTTTTTTTTTTTTCCTGATGTTTCCTAAGAAGAATGTAACTGTTTTTGTTTGGACTGCAGTTACAAAATACATGTGACTCTGCACTGGCATATCTAGTTATTCAAGTGCAAGAACATAAATCACGTGTATACTCTTTGCAATCTGAGGGGCAAGGTACCCACAATTCCCACAAGTAATTACTTTGTGCATCCACACTTAGGATTTGCATATGTAACTTCACTAAAAATGTGCTAAATAAATTTGAATCTACCGTTCTGAAGACATGGCTGCAATGGTCCTTTAGCTCTTGCTATTATACGCACTTTTATTTTTCTGGGGAACAGAAGACCTAAATTATTTTCTTTTCCTTCTCCACACATTGGATGTCTTTGCTCTCAGTAGGATAAGTGCTCCTTACACAACTACAAAAGTGACGACCACCAACTTTCCTCAAGCATAGTGAATGCAGTTGGACAACCCATTAGTGCTACCTTTTCAAAACTCTTCATGTACTCAAAGTGGTATGCAACACCCAGACCTGCCTTCAAATTCAATTTGTTCCTGTCAGGAAAACAGTTATGTCACAGAGAAATAAAGAATGTGTGATACCAACTATGTGAAATTACATAGGGCTGCTTTTAGGTTCCTGGGTGGTCTCTAACTATGAAATGTTGAGGACTCAACATGCTTTTCACCCCTCAACTAGAAGTGAAAGCTCCCAGGTGCAAAATACAGTTTTGTTTTATTTTCCTCCTCCTTTGATTTGGACTTAGACTTTAAGCATTAAAATTCTTTATAATTGTAGATGCACTACAGATTGTAGGTACCTCAAAGTTGAATAGGTAGCATCCAGACTGGAAATCACGAGCTTGTGCCAAGTCTTACAGTGCCTGAGGGATAGGGGTATTTATATATATAAATATAAACACTATATACAGTGCCTGAGGGATTTGCATGGAATCCAAAACAAACCTCACAGTTATAAGAAGTTGGGAAAGGAGTTATCTACACTGGCTGTGTATTAAAGGACTTTCACGTTGCATTAGATTATCTTATTATATTGCAATCCTGAAGGTTGGAGTGTAGAAAAAGATTTCAGATGAGCTTAGGCAGAATCTTGGTCCTGACCTATGTAAACTAGTGTCCTTCTGGTTGCTTATAAGGGTGCTGTGCTACAATGCTGGAGCATTTAATGGTCAAACATAAATGCTTTCTGTGGATCTTCTACTATTAGGTAGCTGCATTGCTGAGGGCTGCAATGCAGTTTCATATTTAGGTACTTCAAATCTTTACCAAATTCAGTCCTTGAATTATCATCTTCTGTTTACCAGCATCATCACTTCCCATTTTACTTTTTATTTTCTTTACTCTAAGGAATTTATCAATACTCTTTATTTTCCGTAGTCTTAAAAAATAAAACTTTCATCTGCAAAATTTGCTATTGCTTGTCTTTAAAACCATTACTTCAGTGAGGAATCGGTTAAATAAAATAATCTCAGGAACAGACCTACAAAAATGTGACCATGCCAATGGTAGTCTCAAGCAATTTGTGAAAGATGACATTAATGTCCTACCCAACCTATAATTATGCAGCTCTTTTAACAATTAACTGATAGACTTAAAAAGGTCTTGAAAGACAATAAATTATGTAGCCCTATTCTTCTATTCGCAGACTCATTAAATATGACTGAAGAAGTTAGAGAGACATTGGTTTTCCTTTGCAGAAGACATTCTGGTTTGTTCCTCTTTAATAACAACAGTGATCTTAATCCTGCAATTTTGTTTGAGCATTAGCATTGTTCATTTTGCTGTTTCTGAAGTGATGCCTAATAGGTCTGAAATTGCACTGGTGATCCCTCTAATGTTTTAGTCATTTGTTTGTTTGAAGAGAGCCCTTCTACTGTCAGCTGGAGAAAGTGACTTTAACTGAGAATTTAAATATTGTTGTTAGGTCAGCTTCACCAATACCAAGTGTTTGATGAGTATCAGCAAGTCCTGATTAACACACTGTCCTTTAGTTTATTATCCTGCATCAACATCTCCTTCTTTTGATGCTCATCTGGGCAAAGTTAACCTCCCCAGATTTCCTTCAATATCACCTCTCCCATTTTAGAGTTTTCCTTTATTGCTTCTTTGTTTCCTAGAAATACAGAAAATCTGAGTTTGGTTTTTTTTTTTTTTTTTATCCTTGAGTCTTCTTTTTCTGATAGCTTACTATTATTCTTCCATGTTTGCTTTTCAAAGTGTTTATAACAATTTTTCATCTATTGTTTTATGATGGACTTCCTTTGCTTACAGGAAAAGTCAGATTTGCTACTATCTGAATCCAGTGGGTCCTGATACCATTCTTGTTCTTGTGTCATTTGAGAAATCTCATTGGTGCTGATTTTATTTTAAACTATTTTTAATGTCAGTCTTCTGTGCCTCAGTATCCTAATCCCAGAAATCTAACAAAAAATATTTTTGCACTATTTATTCTAAATGTTATGTTAGCTGTAACCCTTTACCTCCTTAAGTGCTAGCAAGCAGGTGGTCCTACACAGGGGTGAAATTATGTTTTTAAATCTTTATTGTAAACTGCTCATGTAGAAAGAAGTTGTTTTGTAATCCTGCAAGTACCCTTAAACTTCTCATGCCAAACTTTCTCAATAGTCACGTTAATTGTATACCATTTCATTGATGGGATGAAGTTTTATAGAATAGTAAGAATTTTAATGGCTCCATAAACATCAGAATACAAAGTCATAAGAAGAATTCATTGCATATTTTGTGAAACTCAGTCCATTTGGCAGATCAATCCATAACAAACCTAAACACCATGGCTGTTTTCAGGGCGAAAGGACTTCACAGAGAGAAAGGGACTTGGAGATGGGCTGGGATTACTTTATTGCTTAGGGGGACAGCAAACCTGCTCCTTAGAGCCAGTGCCACCAGCTGCAGCAGGAGAGCTGCTCCTGCACTTACTCTTTAATAAATGCATGTTCTCTCCTCTGAGCTCATGCCTCTGCCATCATGCTAGGATGCTGCCTGCTGTGTTAATCCGCCAATAAAGAGACCTCAGGTCATATACTAATATGTGCCTTTACCTTCTGCCAGCACCCCCAGGACTGGCTATTAATTTTCAAGTCGTTGAATTTTCACTTAATGTACTGCAGCTCTCTGAAGCGTGGTGAATTTCTTTAACCATTAAAGTAGCTGTAAACTGTGTGTGTGGAACAATAACTGGATGATGATGCATAAAGAAACAGGAGAACCCAAAACAAAACAACACCTTTTATAGGAATAACCACTGAATGGGGCATTAGTTGCATTTCTATACAGTTTTGGCTCAGAGGAGGATGATGATAATGATCACAACCAAACAGGTTGCTTCATGCTGAGAATCAAGCAGTGCAGTTATTCCAGGAGTGCCCCATAGACAGCTGCAGTCTGGGACACCTCCAGGGCCAGGAAGAATTAGGGGGAGAGACCTGGGGTTGCCGCCCGACCTGAAGCACAGGAACGCGCGTAGTTTTCGCGCTAGTCCCGCCAGAGGAAAGGGCTGCGGACGCGAAATAGTCGCCGAGTTTCCGCCACCGCGGTTGCCTCACAATTTATACAAATCGCCTTTTTTTTTTTTTTTTTTTTTTCCCGCCTACTCTTCCCCGCAGGTCTCCCGAGAGGGCAGGAGGAAGAAGCAACAAGGGGAAGGAGAGGTGGAAAAAAAATAAAGATAGCTCGGTTTGCATTTTATAGCAAGCCCCTACGCATTTCGTAGCATCGTCGGCTTCAGCCCCCGGCCTCCCTTCCCCACCCCGGGGGCGCTCTGCGGCCGCGCAGAGACGCCTGCAGCCTCCGGGCTTGCGCGGCTCTCGTTTTTGGGGTGCGCACAATTCCCGCGGTTGCACTTGCGCGCCGCCTGCCTCCAGCGCAGCCCTAGGGGGCCGCGGTTAGAGGGGAGGGTCCCTGGGGACGGGCGAGGGGCTGGAGGCTGAAGGCTCCCCCGATGCCTGCGGCTGGTGCCGCTCTCCCCCAGAATCGCGGTCGAGAGGGGTCGCGCAGTTCCCGCGGGTGTCCGCGCAAGGGGACCCAGCGCATCCCCTCCCGGCCGTGGGTCTCCGTTTGCCAGGGCCGAAGTGCTGCCCCTCAGGCTAAAAAAAAAGACTAATATATATATTAAAAAGCCTAATATATATAATATATAGCTTTAAATAGATATTAAATATTTTATACATCACACACATATATATTTAAGATGTTTTATTTCCCTCTTTGGAGAAAATAGCAAATCAATGCCACCCTTTCCTCCAAGCATGTTTCTCTTCTAGTAAGAGAGGCTCCACCTCTGCTAGAGATTGATTCGCCCGGCGGTTTTTAGGATAATTTATGGAGCAACCTGATGAGCCTATTGGGCGAGTTGCTCGGTCCTTGTAGAGTGGGTTCCTACCTGTTTGGGTGTTTTATTTTATTTTTCCCCCCTTTTCCTTCCCCTCCCTTTGCCTGCCGTGTGCCGCGAAGGGGGGGGGGACGGTGGGATTGGCAGGGTCGCCGTTCCCCAGCCTCTCCGGAGGAAAAGTCGGGGAAAGGAGAAGCTCCCGCACGCCCATGGATGCGTGGGGGGGCTCCGCGCCCCTCTGGAGCCGCCGCCGCGGGGCCCGGCTGCTGCTGCTGCTGCTGACCGTGCGGTTGGGGAGCGGGTGAGTACGGCCGGGCACCGCCACCGCCAGCCCGTCTCCTCCCGGGGAGGTGCCGGCCGGGCTTGGGGAAGGGAAGGAGGCGTGCTGAGAAACTTAAATAAATAAATAAATAAATAAATAATAATAATACAATTTTAAAGGTGCTTCCTTCGGATGCGGGGGAAGCCGGCACCGGGAAAGTAAAAGTTCTGCCGCATCCCACTTGTTCGTGGGAGCGTCGCATCACCCGGCCGGCGCAACAAAAAGCCACCCCCGACCCGGCTGCGCTCCCACGGGTGGGGAGAGTCTGCCCCCGCCGCGGATGGCAGGGTGCTGGCACCGCTCGTGGTGCTGCTAGTGCTGCTACTTTTTTTTTTTTTTTTTTTTTTTTTTTCCCCCAGCCTGTGGGGTGCTCGCAGCCGGGGGTGCCTCCTGGCCCTGATCCTGCCCAGCCCCAGCTTGCGGGATCGGGCCCACGCGTGCCGGGCTGCTGCTGCTTAAGTCCGCCAAGTTGGAGATGAGCCTTCCGAGGGAGAGTTGCGAAATTTGGGCTGGAGGGCTCTCAAGACACAACAGTTTGGTGCTGTTGTGTGTTACTAGTGCCCGTAAAAAAAATAACAAAAGGCAATCTGATCGTTCAACGGCTTTAATAATTCAGAAGTAATGTGTATCATTCCACAGGTTATACTGTCCTTAAAAAACAAAGCAGTATCGAAATGGTATTCAGTTGTTGCTCAGTTTCTTCATAAAGGAAGACCAAATTGTCATTCCAAGAGGCTATATCAGATATGTTGTATAAAGACTGGCTGGAAAAGAAAAAAAAATCCATAAACATTTTTTTAAAAGTCCATTAGAATGTAGACCCCTTCCTCATGTTGAATGATCATTTATCAATCGTGTGAAGTGTGTTCATCTCAGCTCATCTCTCATCTTCAGAAGACTGCTGTGTTATCCTACTTAGAAACCCTACTGATTATACTTTCCTTATTCTGTCTTTTAAAACCTTGGCATATTATGGAAATATTTTTCAAAAGCATTGATGGAAATTATACCAGTGCAGCTGTGCATCTTCAGAATGCTTCTTAATGAACATATTGTACCTCAGGTATGAAAGAAATTATCAAGTGGTTTGAGAGAAAAGAATATGCATGCTAATATATCAGTTCAAAGGCTTGGTTACGAAGGAGAAGGACTAGCTTAAAAAAAAAAAGTTTGTTGTTGTTGTTGTTTTGTTTTTCAAAGTGTGGTTGTGATTATAAGACTAGGTGTTAGATTATTATGTTTACGTCTCATTAATGGTTGCATTTATAAAGAAGTTGATGAGAAGTCTTCAGTGAGAAAAAGGAGTAACTTACAAGCATGTTTTTATTTTGTGCTTCAGAACATCTCAGATAAAATGCACCCGTTGGTTTAAATAGGCACATATCTGAATCAATGTTTTTCAGCCTTGCCTTTCATCCAGAGAATACATAGGAAAACAGTGTCTCTGTTGAGGGATTTTTTTTTTTTTTTTTTTTTTTTTTTTTTTAACGTAACCACAAATGGACATGTTTTTCAGATCCCGATTCTCTGATGTGTATTGCATTACAACTCAGGGTGTTTGCAGAGAGCTTGCGAGCTCTAGCACCCTTTAGCAGCTTGCCACAAAGTATGATGGAAATACTATTTCTCTTCTCTGGCTGCCTTTCTGTAGTTTCAGCCAGAGCTTTTCATTGAAGTCCAAATGAAAAAACATAGAAGCAATGCTTTTCTCAAGAATAGACTAGGCTACACCAATTCTAGCTGGTTTTCCAAAAACATCCTGCAGGAGCCAAAACATCTTTCAAGCCATGATTTTTAAAGGCTGCAAATTGCATAACTTTTCATATGCCTTTCATAGAATGGTTTGGGTTGGAAGGGACCTTAAAGACCATCTAGTTCCAACCCTCAGTTATATATGTCATTTTGTGTCGAGTGTGGGTAAAAGTTACTGCAGATATGACACGTGGAACTAAAGCCTAAGAAAGGAAATCTGAAGTTGATTTCAACCATTTTTAGTGTATTGCCCCCAACGCCATAGCACACCTTCACTGAAGGAATTTGCAACAGTTGAATTCTGATCTGTAAAACAGTTGTTTTACCCTAGTTCTGCACACACACCACAAACAGACCAGAATTGCCATTGCACTTGGTGTAAGTTCATGAGCTGGTATTTTGAAGAAGGATGTCTTCAATAGCTTGTCTACCTTCTACAGAAGTGATCCTTTCCAGGTACGTGCAGTCACCGCAGTCCTACAAGTTCAGCAGTTCAGCACACTCATTATACTTAGTAATCTCAAATAAACAGATATTTCTAAACAGATATTTCTTGGGGAGACCATGAGGGCTGATAATAAAATTAATATTTTTTTCCTAGTTCTAAATATACAGGCACAGCTAAACTATCACTTTTTTTTTTTTTTTTTTTTTTTTTTTTTTTTTTCTACTGAGTAGAGCAAGAGTTCAGTTGGAAGGGACCTTCAAAGATCATTGAATCCAACTTCCTGACCTCTTCAGGGCTAACCAAAAGATCAAGCTTATTAATGAGGACATTGTCTGAATGATATCTGTCGGTCAGCATATATAACAGTATACTGTAAGGTTTACTTTATTTTGCCATACACTCTCTTTAGTTTTGGCAGTGGCTGTTCTAAAAAGCAATTGTAAATGCTCCATCACAATGGGACTGTCAGCAGGTGCAAATGTCAGCTAATATTTTCTTTTCCATTTCATAGCATCTTGTAGGAAAATACTTATATAATACAGCTTACATTTTCTTCTTGGATAAATTCATGGATCAGAGTTAAGCCTGTCATAACAACATGGGTTTCTTAATGCTTGATAATAGTGATTTAGTGTTTCATTTGAACATCTGCGATGTTTATTCATTATTATCCTTACTCATATATGCTTTGTTCATGACGTGACAATGAAGAACTTGTTATTTAGTAGTACCAGTTGTTTAAAGTTCTTTATTTTATTAACAGTTCATAATCTTTTTTGGCAGAGTTAATATAAAGTTTAACTAGAAATAGTTAAATATCAAGAATTACTATTATTTATGCATAATTTTATGTTCCTTTATTGGATTAAAAGGAAATCTTCAAACTATGGCAATCTGAAAATGAACTCATAGTAAATTAAACAACATTTTCAATTGCTTTTAACTTTCTGCTTGTTAAATATTGTTGCTTGCTACCAAGTCAATTTTTTTTTTTTTTAAGCTGGGTAGAAAATGTTAAAGGTGAGCACTCATTGACTTTGGTCAACTTTTTAATGGATCCATGTCTGACCACGTAAATTACAAGGGGATAAAAGGACTATGTTTTTTCTTTGAAGTTACAGAGGAACATAATTTGGGTTTAATGCAACACCTAGTTTCTATGGACAGTATGCAGGAGTACCTTGGCATATGTGCAGTTGAAAAGTGAGTTGCACTGGTTTGTGCTATCATATATAGCTGAAGAGGTCATGTATTTTGAACTCACAGAAAAAAAGATGAGTCTGCAAGTTGCCAAGATGAACAACCTTTTTTTTTTTTTTTTGGATAGTAACATTTATGAGAGAAGAGTGTCTGGGCTTTTTAATTACTTGCTTAGTCCTCTTTTGCATGGTGTACTAAAACTGGTTATGTACTTAAAATAATAATATCATAACGTGTGGTAAAAAGTGACAGAGAGAAATTATGATTACAAACAATAGTATGTAGCACACTGACAAGAGTCTTTGAAAAGATGGTGGATGGCAGTGGTGCTAAGCTTCATTTCTTGACAATTTCAATTAATAGTAAAAATTTGTAAGGAAGTATAGTGCAGATGCAATTGAATTAATCTGCTGATGACATGGAAATCCATGGAAATTTTGCAGTTTTACACATGTGAGTGCTTCTATTAATAAATCTAAAAATAGTGTGGTGAGTTCAGTGGCCTACTGGCCTATGTAAAAACCTGATTCTACATATTTAAACTTAAAAAGGTAAATCGTGCACTGAAAAAGATGTTGTGATAGAGGTGGCTGGAAAGACTAGATATGTCTCTCTAGTGCTCCAAGGAGTTGAACAGAATGGAATTTGCTTCAAAGAGGGAAATCCTAATGATTGGCAAAGATGAAAATAAATACTTCATAAAATATGCTTTCAATTATGTATGTTCAAGTCTGCAGGACCTGTTATGATAATCTGGTCCAACATAAGAATAAATGAAGATGCAGAACTTAACTTCTGCATCAGGTTTGTTGCTTCAATATAACTGTTCTAAGCCCCTGCACACACACTCAACAAGAAGGAATCCAGTGAAGTATTTTACAATATTTCTAGTCTGAGGTTTTTCCAGTTTCCAGCCACTGGATTTTCTGCCTTCTTCTGCTAGATGAAAAAGTCTCTCTTCTCTTCCTTTCTCTTCCTCTCTTTCTCTCTTTCTCTCTTCCTTTTTTTTTTTTTTTTTTTTTCTTTCCCTCTTCCTATTTACCACATGCTACAACTGTCCCAGCCACTTTTGAATCTGATGTGCTTCAGTCCATCTCTTGGGAAAACCATGACCCTGTTTGTACCTCTGATTCTTGTACCTCTGTGAGGGCAACCTCCCAGTGTGGACCCATGGCTACAGATGCTCTTAGGAATGGAGCATGGTCTGCAGCACCTTGAAGAAATCTCAGAGCACCTCAAATTAATCCTGAGATTCTTAAGGGAATCCCTATCTTGATTATAAAACATCTAGTTTTCTGTTTTCACCATAGTCTTTCATGACATGTTGTGTCATGAAAGACTACGTTCATGTTCCTTGCTTCGAAAAACTTCCTCACCTCTCAGAGATGAGAAACTGCTGTGCAGTTACGTGCATAGCAGTATTTATGGGGTGAGTGATCTAGTCCAAAATGAAAGTTTTATACAAATGTGTGACAATCAGAGATATTCAGCACAGGGTGGAATTTTCCATTAAATTGGATTTACCCAAGCTACAGCTGGAATTATTTCCTTGGTATATATAGTTTAAGAGGCAACTTGA